ACTGCCAGAGGTGCAAAACAAGGTGGGGGCCCACAGCAAGGGGGTACCACAGGGGAGGAGGCGGGGGAGGAGGCTGGGGACGGCAGGGATGTGTGCTAGTCTCTGGCCTAAGCCACAGAATGGGTCATGAAGGTGGTTTACCAGATGGGAACCCTGGGAGGAGGGGCGCGGGTAGGGAGAGATGAAGGGCTGCTCCAGGAGCCAAGTCCTCCAGGAGGAGGTGCCCAGGGGACTTCCGGGGAGACCCCAGTTGATACAACTGGGCCAGATAAGGAAGGAGGAGACTTGGGAGCACCTGACTGTAATAGGGCAGAAGGCAATCCGGGAACCCAGGAAAATTAAGTGGGGTCTTAGCCAGTAGGGAGAAGCTCTCTGTGTCTAGCTTACACTCCTCCCACTGTTGGTTTGGGCGCTTTCCCCCACAGGGCAGATTTCTCCCCACCAGGGCCTCGCAGCCCCCCCCACGCCCAGCTCTCTGAGAGGCCTCTCAGGGAGGGAGGTGGACCGGGGGGAGGGGTCTGGAGAGCCCCTCACGCTCTCTGCGCTGACTTCGGAGCCAGAGGCAGCCGACGTGTCCAGCTGGAGCCAGGGATTCCTGAGTTTCCATCCTTTTCAGACACTGGCTTCCTCTGGGATCTCAGTTTTCCGGTCACGCCGAAGGGAGAAGTCTGCGAGCAGGAAGGTGCGGGCATTCAGGGCTGGCAGCGGCTGGGCCTGGGTGGGGCAGCCGGGCGCGCCCCGGCCGCGCACCCGCGCCGCGGGCCACCTCCGCCACCCCCCATTCCAGGCCAGGCCAGGGTGTGGGTGGCCCCGCGAGCAGGCGCAGGTCAGGGTGGCGAGTGGGGGAGCCCCGCCACGTGGCCAGCGAGGTCAGCAGGGGTTCATGGGAAAGGACTTGTCGGCCACAGGAGAGGACATCCTGCCTGCGTTTCCCTCTTCCTGCGGCAGGAGCCCACGGCCCCGATTTAGCAGCGCTGGGGGGCCACCTCTGAGCCAGCTGGGCTGTCTGATAACACCACCCGTCCTGCCGCCCGGGAGCGGAGTCCTGACCCCAGGCGGGCGGGCTCACTGCCTGGCACAGCTGGCTGCACCCGCAGCTGGGCTGTGCTGGGAGCTCAGCATCAGCCAGGGTGCCCCCCGCCCCCGCCACCCTCAGGGGGCCCTCCGGCAGCCCATGCTCCCACTCAGCCCCACCTCCCTCCCTGCTTCCAGCGGGACCTTTCTAAAACACAGATCTGAGTTTTCAGTGGCACCCCCCACCCCAGTGATAAGCACCAACTTCTTGAGCTGGTGGTCCAGACCCCGCCTGCTATGGTCCCAAGGGCATCCCTGACCCCGTGTCCACCTAGCCTGCACCCACCACACATCCCAGCTCCCAGCACATGACCTTTCTCCTGCTCTAGATATGCCCTGCCTTTCACCCAGCCTTTGGAGGGGCTGCTAAGAACTGCAGGTAGAGGATGGTGCTGCTCCAAGTGGGTGGGTTCGAGGGGGCTCCGTTCCCACAGGCTGTGTGCCCCCAGAGCATGGAATGCGGGCTTTCAGGCGGGTTTGGGGGAAGCTCTGATCCTCACCCAACCTAAAGCACCATCCTCAGAGCTACCCTAAATTCTACCCAAGGGAGATTCATTCGTATTAGGCAGCACACACATGCGCATTTGGAGTGTCTGGCGGTGGAGCCTCACCTCGGTGTCAAACGGCTAATCAAACTGCTTTACTCTAGGGTATGTGAAGGTTTTAGCTTTGAGTCATGGCTTATTGTGTCCATTTTGGAGATTAGGAGTTAAGGCTGGAGGGGTGAAATGGCTCGCAAGGTGCTAGAGCAGCTTTGAAGGAGTGTCAGGTGTCAGGTATCTGGTCCCAGATGGCATGGGGGCCAAGGGGTCAGAAGGGGCAGGTGGTTGTCCACATTCCCCAAGGAAGGGTCTGATGAGGTCGGCAGGTGGAGTCCTAAATTTTTTACCACGTCTTGGACATTGTTTTCTTGATTGTCCCAGAGACCTTTCAAAAGCAGCATGCCCTGCAGACACATGGCCTGTCTCCCAAGTCTCCCCCTGGCCAACGTGCCTACCTCAGTGCAGGACATCTCCACCTCTATTGCTCACCTCCACACCTGCCCACTCGCTCTGTGCTCTCCCTTTGCTCCCCAGACCCTCAGGGCAGTCGGGGCAATCACAGGCCAAGTCTCATGCTTGGGACGCCACCATGAAAGGCAAGCATAAGCCCCTCCTCCCTGCACTAAGCAAGTGTCAGATGCAATGAGCCAACCACTGCATGGAGCTGCAGAAACATGCAGCAGGGGCCCAAGGAGGAGGCCTCAACTTGTGACTCTAGGGTTGGAGGGAGCACCAGTCATCAAAAAGCCATGCCAAGAACGCAGCTTCTGCCCCCAAATAGCGTAGTCGTTTTAGGCAGGAGAGGGACTTGTGTTCTAGAAAGATAATCTAACCACTGGGTAACGCTGGACCAGTGGGGAGACACTGGCGTGGCGAGCCGGAGGATGGACGTTGAGGCCGGCCGGACAGTGGGTTGGAGAGGCAAGGGACTGGACGGGGACCGTCCCGGGATCTGGCTCTCTGGGCGGAAGGAAGGCGTTCCCTGCTAGGTGTCTGAGTGCTGTAAGTGCAAAGCACTTTGCTGGGGGGGAGGGGCAGGGAGAGAAGAGGGGCAAGCCTGGAGCTTCCAGCTCCCCCACCCCGGCCGTTGGTGCTGCCTCTGAGGATGGACATGACTTCGTGACCCGTTGGCTGTGGGGGCTGAGTGGAGTCAGGAATGCCTGACAGGTGACCGCCACTAGGATGGCAAACAGTGGAAGGGAGAGCCGTGCTTCCAGGGCTGATGGAGAAAAGATGGTTCGATCTGCAGAAACACAAAGAATGCAGACACGCACGGAGTAAGCAGTAGCTTCCCGTGATCCTGTGCCCCAGAGATAATCTCTGAGCAGCAGGTTAACACCTGTGTCTTTAGTTTTCTCAACTGCAAAATGACAAGAACAGTACCCACCTCAGGGGGCATGAGTGGGGTGTGGGGTGCGCAGGTGCGCAGGCCTGGGCTGGTACACAGAAAGTGCTAAATCCGTGTTTGCTATTATTATCCTAACAGGATGTATGGGGTAAGCAGAATTTGGGGGTCAAAGAGTATGAGCCTTCGTTTAGTGCTATGAGTGCCTATTTGCCTATTTGCCCACATCCTTGCCAATACTGGGAATTCCCTATCTTTTAAACACGTGCTCGTCTTGTGGGGTGGGGAGCTGTGCGCTCTGTGGCTCCAGTTGTCCTGCCCCACGGTGGGTGTGGTCTGGTCTGAGGGGTGGGGGGGTGCCCTCCCAGAGACATGTTGGAAGCATCCCCCCCACCCCAGGTCCGGAGCTCAGGAAAGCTGCCAGGGAGGGTGGAATAGCTCAAAGGTGGGCTTGGAGCCCTGGAGGGTGCCATTACCAGGAGGAGGGAGCAGACTGGTGAGCAAGGCCAAGAGCCTCAGGCTGGCCTGTGACCCAGGACTCTTTTCTGTGGCCTCCTTGCCCCACATCTGTTCCATCTACCTGACAGCCCAAGGTCCCCCATATTCTAGCATTGCACGTTCTGTCTGTCCTGTGTGTTCTCCTGGGCCAGCAAGCTCCTACTCAGTCTACCAAGCACATTTCAGCTCACCCCGTCCTACCAGCAAGGCCTTCTCTGACCCCCCCCCACCACAGCTGTGGCATGCAAAACACTCAGAAGGCAGTGACAGCCATGGGCTCAGCGTGCATGAGCCAGCAACAGTTTGTTCTTGTGATGGTTTGTAACGTGGTATTATGTTATGTGTGGCTCCCTATCATCCTGAGGACAATTCTCATTTTGCAAGTGGGAAGACTGGGGCTTGGAAAGAGGAAGGGCCTTCCTCGAGGCCACACAGCCGGAGAGTGGCATTGTGGGGCATGCAGCCCGCCTCAGGGAACGCTCTGGAAACAGCCCCTCTTTTCCCCAGCTATCTCAGTCTTGTAGGGTCAGGGGACTGTGACCTCTTGACCCTCACCCTTGACCTCTGGAGGCACAGAGGTTACCAGCCAGTTCTGTGGGGGGGGACAGGGGGGAGGACTCTAGGACTGAACACCCTTGTGCCTCCCCTCCAAGAGTGAGGGGAGAGGGAGGACCTGGAGCAGGTCTCCCCACATCTGCCCAACTCTAGGACGGATGCATAGAGACCCCAAGCCTGGCCTCACCTGGCCAGCTGTCCCCCATGTTTCTCCTTCAGCTTGCCTCGAGTCTGTAGCCTGGCCCCTGGATGCCTCTGTCGTCCTGGGCACAGCTGCTAGGGAGAGTGTGGATCAGACTGGCGGGACTGCCACATAGTCCCCCTCACCCACAGAGTGACCATGACAGCATCTGCAGTGAGAAACTGTCAGCGTGTGGAGAGGCACCCCCAGCTCACCGGCCACCCCGACTTCATCCCTGGGTTGCCGTGCTGGACCTGAGGACAGAGCCGTGACCAAGGACAGGGCCAAGGGAGGGACAGTGCACTCAGACTCCGGTCTCCAAGCAGGAGCAGGGATTCTCCAGGCACAGAGAGCAGGGAGGGACAAAAGGCACAACCTGAGGCCAGCAAGGAGGTGGGCAGGGACCTGGAGGATGCTGGAGGTGGCAGGGGCACTGGGAGGTGAAGCAGGCCAAGAGGGCAGGACCTGTTGGGATGCGCTTCACGCTGGAGGCCAGACCAAGGGTATGCACAGCTCCAGAGGCCCAAAGGGAGCCAGTGAAGGTGTCCTCAGGCCGCGACACCCCTCTGGGCTGAGGGACAGATTGGAGGCCAGAAAGGAGGCTGCTAGGGAGTAGAGAGGCAGGCACTCGGGGTTGTGCTGGGAGAGAAGGGGACAGAGAGATATGAGGACCGGGAACTGGGCAGGGATGGGCCTCTGTGGGTCCTGGAGCCTCAGTTTCCTCATTGCCGACTGGACTTCCCTTCCTCCCAGGCTGTGTGAGGATCAAAGGAGGCAATGACCTCAAGGCCATGATCAGCGCCGAATGCGCAGGACTTCCCACACCCCAGCCTCCTGCCACTCACCCCTCACTCAGGATCCCAGTGCTGCTCCCACAGCCGGCCGCCTGTGGCTGACGCCAGGGTCCTCATTGCCCAAGGCTGCTGACAGCACAGAGAAGAGGAGGTGTGCACTCTGGCCTCCCTGACCTCGGCCCGGCGCCTGCCCCAACTGCTCTGTTGAGAGCTGGGGGGCCAGGGCCGCCGGCCAGGGGAAGGAAGAAGCTAGTTCCTGGGCCAGGAACAGGAAGGCAGGGGGAGTGCGGCAGAGGCCAGGATGACAGCGCTTCCTGCTGTGGGAAGGGAAGGACAGTGGGGACAGACAACAGCCCAGCAGGAAGGATGCATCTTTGTTGGGGTTGCAAGTGGGGGCTGGGCAGCATGGAACCTCTGGGCAAGACAGTCATTGGGTCAAATCTGTCTTAGCTACTGAGCCTTCTGGGGTACGCATGGTCACCAGGGAGCTTGGTCTTTAAAAATGGAAACATATCTTCCAGAGGAATGACAGGGTCTGACATAGTTCCAACATAAAGGAAAACGTGAGGCCTGTTTAGCCAGCCAGTCAGCCATCCACCTATCCTTCCATTCACCCATCCATCTATCCATGTATTTATCCACCCACCCATCCACCCACCCATCCATCCACCCATCCATCCATCCACCCATCCTTCCATCTATCCATCCTTATATCCATCTGTCCATCTATCCATCTATCCTTCTATCTAGCCATCCCTCCTTCCAACCTTTCATCCATCTTTCCATCCACCCATCCATCCACCCACCCGCCCATCCATCCATCCACCCATCCTTCCATCTATCCGTCTGCCTGTCCATCTATTCTTCTATCTAGCCATCCTTCCTTCCATCCATTCATCCATCCATTCTTCCATCCCTCCATCCTTCTATCCATTTGTCTGTACATCTGTTCTTCCATCTAGCCACACTTCGTTTCAACCATCCATCCATCCATCTATCTGTCCATATGACAATCCAACTAGCCATCTTTCCATCCATCCACCCATATTTCCATCCATTCACTAATTCATTCATCCATCCATCCATCTGTCTATCCACTCATCCATTTATTCTTTCAACAAATATTTATGGAGTCTGGATTCTGCACCAGATGCTGTGCTAGACATGCGGTGGGGTAAAAAGGAGACTGTCCTGGTCCTTTGAAATTTACCCCCACTGACATTTACTGTCTAGTAGAGGAAATGGAAAAACACAAGTTGAGGGGCACCTGAGTGGCTCAGTCAGTCAAGCGTCTGTCTTCAGCTCAGGTCATGATCTCCAGGTCCTGGGATTGAGGCCCACATGGGCTGCCTGCTCAGCAGGGACTCTGCTTCTCCCTCTCCCTCTGCCTGTCACTCCCCTGCTTGAGCTCTCTCTCTCAAATAAATAAATAAAATCTTTAAAAAAATAAAACATAAGTTGAACAAACAAATAAATAAATAAGATAATTACAAATTGTGACAAGAAGGATGAAGCAACCAGGAGGTTAAGATGGATATTAGAGGGGGACTTAGGTTTTGGAGGGGGTGAGTAGTCATGACTAAGCTAAGGCCTGAGCATGAGAAGAAACCAGCCTGTGCAGTGCATGTGAGAGGAGGCAAATCAGGAGGAGTATGTGCAAAGGCCCTGGGACAGGAAGGAACATGCATGTTATGGAACAGCCTGAAGGGCATGATGGCTGAAGGACATGAACACAAGGTGAGAGTGGCCCAAGAGGGTATGGAAAGGGGATCAGGGACCCAGCCACAAGTTTGGGTTTTCCTGAAAATGCAGTGGGAAGTCACTGATGGGATTGAAGCACAAGCATGATATGGCCCATTTCTGTTTCTTAACTGTCACTAACAACTATGTGCAGGACTGAAGGAGGGTAAAGAGTAGGCCCAGGAGCCCCCACTTTGGGGCTGAGTGCAGTTGGGCAGGCCCCAGTGGGAGAGCAGGGGCTGGCTCTGGGATGCTTTGGTGGTGGGTGGTTGGACAGGGTGAGGAGAAGCGCATCCACAGCTGGTCCCATACGGGAGATGGGAGCTATCAAGGCGAAGCCTTGGGAGGGGTGAAGAAGGTATGAGTCTGGAGTTTAGCATCAGAAATGTGGGAACCGGGGTGTGTGTAGGATGGCCAAGCACTATGGCAACTGGATAATTCAGGCTGGAGTTGAGAGAAGGACAGGAGGTAGAGACTCTGGAGGTATCTGGACACTTAGGGGAGAGACCTATAGAAAAGAGAGTGGGGAGTGATACATGTGGTGCTGCGCAGAGGGGAAAGAGGAAGACAAGGAGACAGTGAGCTCACAGAAGGTGGCAGAGGAGGAGACAGCCCTGCTCCCTGCCTGGAGTGCCCACTGGTCCTGCAGCATGGAGGTCATGGGATGCCTTGACCAATGGCTCCATAAAACAAGGGTGGCATCTGCACCCCAGAGGGAGGATGAGCAAATGTGGGAGGAGGGGACAGCAAGCAGAGTTTTTGCTGTGGAGGGAAATAGGAAAGGGGGCAGGGCTGGAAGGGAATAGAGGATCAAGGAATTTGGGAGGGGTAGGGGTGTTTATAGGATGGAAGATGGAGGGCTTGGACTTGGGAGGGGGGAGTGTCAGAAGGTTTCCAGGGCCCAGGTAGGGGGTGAGGAGTTTGGATGTAGGAAGATGATCTCCATCTACTGGCTTTACTTCATTAATGCTGACAGTGAGGGAGGAGGGAACACCCTGAAAACTTCAGTCCAAGGGCCCATCAGGGTCTGCCTACAAGACAAGAAAGGGAAAGAGCTCTGGCTTTGCACTACACACTGAGCCACGGGGGGCCATGGTGGTGCTGCAGGGTTGGGGTGGAAGGTGAGAGGCAAGGAAACAATCCGAATGATGGGCCAAGGGCCACACTGTGCCAGGACACGGGTGAGGCCAGGAAGAGGTATCTATGGGGAGGGGTCCCTGGACTGGAAGTTTTGATGAGGCTGAAGGACTTAGTGGCTGTCAGACAAGGGCAGCTAGCAAGAGGCAGAGGGGATGGGGAGAGCAGCACAGGAAGGCAGGAACTCGGTGATGGCATAGCTTCTGGTAAGGACCAGGTCCAGGGTGTGCCCAGGAAGTGAGTAGCTGAGAGGAGGAGGGAGGACAGTGGAGATGAGGACCACAAAGGCCAGGACACTGGTGAGTCATCTGTGTGGATGTTGAAACCATGGGGAATGGCCTGAGTTGGGGTGGTGGGAGCTGGAGAGCCAGGAGCAAAGAATGAGGGGAAGTAACCAGGACAACAGCTAATGACAGCTTTAGCAGGGAGCAGGTGGTACCATCAGAGAAGGGAGATGACCACAGGAAGCTCTCCACTGCCAGGCATGTGCCGTGGAGAGCACTACTACATCAAGGGGCAGTGGTGCTTCAGAAAGCCAGATTTCAGTTAAGGCAGAAGGGATGGAGGAGGACAGTGAGGTCTACAGCACGGTCTGCTGGTCATTCAGGGTCTGGTGGATGTGAGTGAAGACAGGGCCACTGGGGCAAAAAAGGAGAGACTTGCACAGATGAATAGAAGGGTTGGCAAGGACAACGGATAGTCTGTCTGTTTAGTACAGTGATGTGGATGCTTCCTTTGGGGATATGGTCACCTCTAGGGAGGAAGATCCTACAGGTCCCATTCGCCATCCATCAACCCACTCCAGCATCCACCCTTCCACCCATCCACCCTCATCCAACCATCCACTTCCATCCACCCATCCACCCACAATCCACCTACCCATCCACCGGTCCACTCCCATCCACCCATCCTCCCACAATCCACCCACCCATCCACCCCCATCCACTCAGCCACTCCCATCCACCCATCCACCCACAATCCAACCATTCACCCTCATCCACCCATCCTCCCACAATCCACCCACCCATCCACCTGTTCACTCCCATCCACCCATCTACCCTCCATTAACCAACCCACCCATCCACCCAT